CCGGCTGCAGCCCCGTGCCCAGCCCGCGTCCAGCCGGCCCCCGCACCCCCCGGCGGCCTCGGTTGGGTGGGCGCAGGTCATCGAAAGTAAATTCCGCTGGGAAAGCTGTCAGCGTTGTCGCCTTCCCGAGGCTTTTCACGGAAATCCCTTGAACACGTATGTGAAGACAGCGCTGTGCTTGGCGTTAACCAGCGCTGCTGCCGGATTTAATCAAGGGGCATAAGGATCCCGTGTTAAAATGGGAGTTTGCCTTTCTTCCTGGAACAGAATGTTCCTTGTGAGAAACCAGAGAAAAGTGGGTGCGTGTTGATGTTACCTGCTCGGGCATTATAGCTACGTCTTGCTCCAGTCATCAGTTTGGCTGTGAAAAGCTGAATTTACGTAGGCCTCACTTTAATTTTTCTTTCATTCCGGTATTAAATCCGGTCATTTTTGATTGTCAGAGTCGGATTTGTGAAGCATTTCTGTCAGAACTTGAATCTCGTGTTAAGTGTGCCTAAGAACGGATTCGGATGCATCATGATGAGGAGCTAGTTGTCACTGACGTCTGTAATAACCCTCTTCAAACAAATTCCAAAGCAATTCTCCAGCAGTGAGCTATACAGGAATTTTCTCTTGGTTACAAGTTGTAGGTAAACTTAAGCAGTGCCATGACAGCATAGCTAGCAATATTAGAGGCTTGTTAACATTTGGCATTATCTCTTAAGGCTGGTTTCACAATAGAGTCCCTGCCTCTCCCAGAAGTCTAACCAAAGTATTCTAGTTTTACAACATAATTATCTATAATTGTATAGAATGGAATGTCTTCCTGATTCCTTGGCCAAAAATGGCTTTAGTAGGTTTTTTTGTTTGCTTTCTGGGAAGGTGGTGTTATAATTTTATCTGTCTTCAGAAAGTTCTGCTTTATTTAATAAATAATATGTTGACATTCTTTACATTTTAAGTTACTAGTATTTCAAGCTGAGGGTTGCTTGCAGCTAAGCTTGCAGATAGAAGTACTGTGTTCTGACTTCACAGAGGAACTAAATTTGGAATATCGCATACACACCCATTTCTGTGTTTGAGAAAAAGCCTTTCTAAGAACAGTCAGATGTGAGAACGCTAAATCTTCATTGTCATTCAGGCTCAGTGGGTCCACCTCTTGGTAGTATGACAACCACTATGGGTCACTTTTTAGTACAAGTTGTGGTTTAGGAATAGAAAGTTATCATCCTACAAAATGGTAATTTTAAAGACTGCTTACATTTTCATTTTGAGGAAAATAGTGCCCTTGTTAGATACAGGAATACTTTATATCTTGTCTAAATAGGAGAAAAAATCCTCAGAAAAAACCCTGAGATTCTACTCTGCAGAATTCCACAGATAGTCCTGTTCCTTACTCCAGAAATACTTGGGCAGTGTCTTCAGAATAATGCATTTTAATGTGGAAATGTTAAGATAACTCCTCCAAACAGAATCTCTGTACCGTAATCAGTGCTCTTCTTGCTCTTATATGGTAATAATAGTGTGACAATGGTACTCAAAATACTGAGGGAAAAAGATCAATCTGCCATGTGAATTTTAGTTTTTAAATTTCAATTCACTGTAATGAAATACTAAGTAGAAGTTATTATTAGTAGAGTAATAATAATAATTTTTAAAATTGTTCGTTTTGAAATTCTTGTGTTAATGTGTCATTTTTGTAGAGATCTCACTATATAATATCAAATAATGTATGATAAAATGATCTTAGATTTTTTTGTAACATAGTTTTACACCCTGGAATTGTTCTACTGCACAGCTTTGAAGAATGTGCCAGTGACTAAAATCGTAATGTAAATTGCTTCCACAAGTACTTGGGAGGGTGTATGGGGGAGTGCGAATTCCATTTTTAATTTTTTTTCATGATGCTGTGTTTTCTTCCTTGCCTCAGTAATTAGTTTACATGTTATCAGGAAAGAGTCCTTTATAGAAATCTCTGTGCGCTGATTATTGGTAATTGGTTGTTTGAGTTTTTGTGTGTGTGATTTTTAAAAAAGTAGAAAAACACTTCAAGTATTTTCAAAATAATATAAATGAATCTTTCTTTTTTAGCCTCTTCTGAAGCAGTCGCCCTGGAGCAATCAGAGTAGCGGCTGGAGCACAGGAAATATATCCTGGGGAGGAATGCATGGCAGAGACCATCGTAGAACTGGAAACATGGGAATTCCAGGAACTATGAACCAGATCTCTCCTTTGAAGAAGCCCTTTTCTGGTAATGTCATAGCTCCTCCTAAATTTACTCGCTCCACTCCATCACTGACACCAAAATCATGGATTGAAGATAATGTTTTCCGAACTGACAACAACAGTAACACTCTCCTTCCATTGCAGGTACGTATCTGGTGTGTTCATAGTCTTGTGTAGCATTTTGGCTTCATTCATTTTAAAGTAGAATTCAACAGTGGTTACAGCCCTGACACTTGGTTTAAAAATTGTGTATTTCTGTATTATTTTTAGTACTAAACTGCAACTAACCCTAACGTTTTCAGTGTATTCAGCAATAGATGATTCTCCCAGTTAAGAATATTGACTGTCAGGAAAGATGGAAACTGTAGCCACTGACACAGCAATATAGCAAAATATGTTTAATCCAGCAAGCCTCTGGTAATGCTTATATTCTTATAAATCCCTTTAAAACTCAAGGAGTTTTTTTGTTTGCTTGTCCTTGTACATAGGCTTTCTTACTTTTATAGGTGGCTCTGAGTCTTTGTCATGTTTGTCTATGATGTTCTAGGCTGACATTTGAGGGGGTTTTTTTCTTCACGTTGTAGCAGTTTTATGTTTTGGCTGGAAGCCCTGTTATTTAAAAGTGTTAAACAGGAGGATGTGTCTTAGAACTAAAGGTCTGGCTTCTCCCCCTGAATTTTGCCAGTGACATCTTACGTGACTTTAGCTAAGTCACTTAACTGCAGCCTCAGTTACAGGTTGGTAAAATGTTATTTTTCCCGTTTCTGCCTGTATACATTTACTCGTAACATTTCTTGTTAGCGGAGACCCTATTGTTTTGGATCTCAATCTCAATTGCCATTCTAACAATTTATAGGTTTTTTGCATATTTTTTTGTGTTGTTTTTGTTATAAAAAAATTTGGGCAACTGATTTTAGAAACAATATATTTTAAAATAGAAAGCAGATTATTCCATTAATTCTGTACATTCTTTAATTTTTGTTAGGCCTGTGTCAGCTTTGTGTTTTGTCTTTCACTGAGCTACTACATTCCAGTGAAAGTAGAAAAGAGAACATGCAGAGAAAATGATCTGAATGATTTTTTTATCTCCACATAAGGCTATTACATTTGCTTTTTGTCAAGTTTCACACAGAGTAACCTAGAGTTTCATTTGTTGTCATTGTGACCATATTTGAATATTACGGCTGTATTTGTATCAATTAGCAAGCTAATCCTTATGTAGCTGTAATAGTGCAAAAGGGTGCTCCCCTGTGACGAGATTTCCCACTTAGAGTTCTTATTTTTCTTACCATTTCACTGGTGGAGTTTCATTTGGCACAGGAGGCCGTGTCCCAACTGCATTCAGTTGAGCTCCGATACTTGGAGTGGTTTTGATGCCAACAGTGGCTTTTGGGCACACATAAATTGTGCTCCAAATGTATTCATTGGACCTGAGAACTGAAGAGGATTTGCCTGTACTGTGAAGATCTGTTCCATTTACCAGCCCTGCTAGCTGGAGTATCACAGCTGAATAATTTTTCTGTGGGTGGAAAAATGGGTAAAAAGGTGCCACCCTTTATGTATTCAACATGATCTGGGAAGCAAAACAGGTTGCAGATAGGTCGTGGAAGGTTCCAAGAGCAGTTGAAAGTAAACACCGAAATGTCTCCTGAAGACGTTATACTAAGGAGCGGGGTTAAAAATATTAATGCCGTCATACATTGAAACTGCAGTGACGTGTACGTTGGAATTCAGGTGCAGCTAAGCACAAGTTGTGAATGTATTTTCTCATTCAATATGCCTTACAAGTCAGTATGACTCTTACTTTGAACTTTAAGAAGCTTCTACAGTGGTCACTAACATGGATGAACTCATGTCTAAACAAAAGTCTTGTGCATTCAAGCTGTAATCTAAATAATTTCTATCTAGTAGGGTAGAAAAAAATCCTTGCAATTTATAATAGTAAACAACGTTAGTGTTTCCACTTGGGGGTTGTTTGGGTGGTTTTTTTGGTTGTGGTTTTTTAGTTTTAGGTTGGTAAGTTTTCTGGGGTTTTTTTTTTTTTGGAGAGTGTCACAATGAGGTGTGCACGCTTAATTGTTGTTGGTCTTACCTGTGAGTGCCAGAACCGCCAATTAAATAGAACTGTTTGTCTTGCTATATCTATCCTGTAGACCTGTATATACTTACATCTCCCTTACATGTATAAAGTCATAGGTGCAGAACACAGTAAAAATAATCCTCTTTGAAGGGTTGCAGTGTTGTCTACTGCTATTGTGGAAACACTAGATGTTTCCATAAATTAACTTTGCTACGCTGAAACCATGCTCTTCTTTTTCAGTTATTATGCTATTGTTATGTGGTTATATGGTGATCACTGTTACATTTTCCAAGTAATAATGAAAAGTTAAATAGGGCTTGGAGCTTAGTGCTTCTTTTCGTCAGGATTTGTGCTGGCAATTGCGATGCTGTCAAACACCCATCTTGCTAATTTGTACTGCGCTTGTCTCCTTCCATAAAAGGCTGAGGTATTTAGATTGAGGATTCTTAAAGATACAGTAGCAATTTCAGAGGATCCTCAAAAATAGCAGTAATTAAATGTTGTGCCATTTGGAAAGTCTTGCACAAAAGCATTTATGTGTACATAGAAGTTTCTTCCAAGGTTCCACAGAGCAAGCACATCTTAGCATGCATGTTGAATATATGCCATATCATTCACAGTTCTGCAGAATGCTTTTCCGCATGACCACGCATCTTTTGTTTTAACTGCAGCAATCATTTTGTATGGCAGGGGACAAAGCACCTCTTCTCTGAACTTTAGCTAGCTCAAGCTTAGAAAATGAAAACAGCTTCGAAAAGTTAGTGTCCTCACTCACTTGCTGTAGATTGTTATTCTGCTCTCATTTTTAAAAATGCGCTGTAGGTTTTGCTAAGTCCGAATGTCATTCGACGGTGTAGGCTGCTTATCCGCTTTATGTAAAACATGTGCCTGATGCAAACAAGATCAGTCACAGGTGAATTGTACATAAATTCAAAGCTTTTCCCTTCCATTAAACTGTTTTTATTCTTTGGTGTTTGCATTGATGGTTAGTTTCCAGTATAGAACTGACATCAGTTCTAATGGAAATAATGTTTCTTGACATAAAACTAATATACTAGTGATAATAAATGTCATAACTGGTAACTGAGTAAGTAATTATGTATATTACTTGAAGGGATGAAAACAGATTTTCTGTACTTTTTAGTTAAAGGTAAACCATCCCATGTGAAGTTGAATTCACAGCGGTCATGTTAGTTACAGCAAAGCTGCTTTTGTTTACAGCAGTTATGAAGGACATATCTCAGGAGAATTTGCTGAAGTTGGAGAGGTTTTTTGTTTTGTTTTTAAATAAAAGTAGTTAAACATCATGGCAACACTGATTTAAAAATGAGCAAATTAAGGCGATAGCCACATTCTTCTTCTGTTCTTCCTCAGATTTTCAAGGTAACGCAAACTATATAAATTGAAGTTCTTTCATAGGCAAAATTATGTGTAAAAGTTTCAGTTTTGCCACACTGCACCATTGCAGGTAGTTCATGTAGGAAAGGGATTGTTGCCTTGTACTGTAATTGTTAAGGAACAATTAGAAATCTCTTCAGGTATTCACAACGTCTAAATTAAGCATTTAATTGAGAAGCCTATTTCTCTGTCCTTAGAGAGCATCTAGGCTCCTTACTTAGATAATCTAATTCTTTAGAAGAACATACCTGACACCACTGGCCTTATACAGCCCCTGGGATTCCAGCTTAGGCACTTATATTTGCATGTCAAAAGTTAGTATGGATATTCTTTCTTATTTCATGATCTAAAGTAGAAAAAAACATTAATACAGGGCGCAAAGCTAAAAAATGTGTCTCTAACCCCAGGTACTGTTGTTTTTTCCACAAAAAAACATGCTTCAAGCATTTCTGTGGCCAAAAATGAAAACACAGAAATCAGTGGTTTGTATGTTCCTTTTTTCATTTACATTCCTTGGGTAAGGGAAATAATTAACCATTTCTAAATTTATTTTTTTTTGTAATTGCAGCATCTGCTAACCCTATTTTGATTGCAAGCTTAATGTTTCTTAATATCTTGCAAATAAGCTTACTAAAACCTATTACAACAGTTTAATAATTCATGTCAGTGTTACAGACTTCAGGGTTCAACTGCATTCTGGTAAAAGCACTGCAGTCTCTGAATACAAGTTTAGTTTCTCTGTCTCTTTTGAGTTAAGAAAATACACTGCATGTCCGGGTGTTTTTCACCTTGGTTTGTCCTTCCGGTTTGTTCAAACAAACAGTATGTGCAATGTTCGTAGTCCTAAAAGCTGAGGTTTATTATTCTACATTTGAATATACCTCTCCAGCTGGGATTTTGTATGGTAAGGTACCATATCCCACAAATACAAATTTTTCTCTTTTGATTTGTTTTTGAGATGTGCTAAAGTTTTCAAAGGAAAAAAACAACAACCTACACTTGCAAAGCAAAATGAGTTTTAAGATTGTGCATTGCAACAAGTGTTAGGTTTAGAAATTTCCTGTGAACTGCTGTCATGTTGCTTCTATCTTACAGTCACTTCCATATGGAGGATTTCAGATTCTCAGTGTGACAGTTTTAGTACAGTTTAATAAATGTACCTTAGCAGTTTAAATAGCTAATTTAAATGATACGCGTAACAGTCAATATTAGTTGACGAGCCAGTTGCTCAAGTTCAGTTCCTAATGCCGTATTTAGACTCTTAAATAGGTGGCCTGTTTTCTTCAGAAGTGCTGAGTGTTTGGCACCTCATGTTAAACTTGAAGGCGCTGGGAATTTCTAGCTTCTGAGTTCTCTTAGTCTTCAGACTAGTGTGGTTCTCCAAATATCGCTATATGAGCCAGGCTTTATAAGTTTCTTTTTGTTAAGGCAATACCTACGGCAGAGCAGCGTCTTCAGGATTTTTAATGTGGTAGATTACCTAGGACTGATTAAATAACGTACAAACCTAGATATTTATGTCTGAGGACCATACTTGGGGATGTCTCCAACTGGAGAGAACAGTCTGCTGCCATACTTCTAACTTCCAAGATTGACATCTTTGAACAGACAGTACTGGGAGCTGCAAAGGTGAATGATTCAAAGGAATTGATTAGCAGAATGTTTG